TATATAAAAAGCCTTGAGGAAATTAATACCAATGAGCAAGGAATGAGGCAGAAAAAAGCACAACTTTTGCTTAACAGATATACGAAGGCAAGTAAAATTCTTTTTATTGGAAATGTATGTGTAGTAAATGGCGTGACGGGAACCTTCATGCTTCCTTGTCATTCAAGTCTTTATGCCGAGCCAGAAAACCAGAATTGGGGCACAGATGACCTTTATGTTTACCTGATGTTCAAGTCTTTATGGCCTACCCAACGCTGGTCCCATTGGGGCACAGGTGACCTTTATGCTTGCCTGATGTTCAAGTCTTTATGCCGACTCAGTGGGACGAAAATTAGATGGGAAAGTCAAGGAATTTAAGATAATCACTGATTCCACAAGTCTTGTTAGGATGTCCGACCAGACTATAAACAGGCAAGAAAATGGGAGGAGATGCATAGAAACGAAATTAGTGTACCCTCAGTCCACTTTCACCGTTCTACATTCACTGGAATTGGGACTATTAATGGCGGAACTGGAACCATCAGTGGTGGAATGTTTGGTGTTAATTATTCGCATAAAAAAAAAAGAGATCTTGAAGAGGATGAGGTAGATCCTGCAAATGATCAATTATACACCTGAAAAATGCTTCACTAATTGAGAATATATGACATGACTTTTCTTAGGAAAAAGAATACTCGAAAGAATGGAATTTTAGACCACGGAAGAAAGTAAATTATGTTGATGTTTCAGATTCTGATACAAACCTGGATAATGTAATTAGTTACACTCAAAATCATAAATTATCCCGTTTTATATTATTCGTTTATATTAATCTTAAAATAATTAAGAGTGAAAATGAGGTGAACGGAGGTGTATCTGGAAATGATCAAACTCACTTTGAAAATAACTCCGTTTCTCGTGAATGCACTTCAAGTTCAGCAAGTGATGATGGTATGTTAAGCTCGTTATTGCCAAAATAATGTATGTAAAACATTGTTTGTAAATATTTATTATTAAATAATTAAAGAACCAGTGGATGAGTCTAATACAACACCAATTCAGGAAGGGCCATCATTGGGAATTGATTATTATGAATCGATAAACAAGATCGCTATGCAAAATGATAACGGTAAGAAACTAGCCGTTTTTTTTTGTCTCAGGTTCAGATATTGTTGTCTAAACTTGACTGTCCTTTGAAAATACTGTTTATTGTACAGGTGGATTTCGAACTCCCCCTCATCAAATTGTCAGTAACACATACAACCCAGAAATATCAATTAATGAAAATATACTAAGAATGTCTGCTATGAGTTTAGCCAAGCTGGACGAATCCAGGGTATTTGATTGAAGACGTTAATTTTTGAAGCATACAAAAGTACTCAATGGTTTGCATTAAACAGTACTTCGGGGAATTTATTCCTTATTTTGTAAAATATAAGAATTCTCAGAAAAATAATCCATATTCGTAAGTAGCTGAATTGCCTAGGATATACTGTATTTTATAATCTATAACTAATACTTTCTTAATATATAGGTCTACAATTGATGATGTAATGGATATTCGAGGAGAAAGCGGATTTGCTAAATTTTTGTCAGTTGATGATTATATAAAATTACTATCAAAAAAACCAAAGAGGAGAGTGGAATTACCAGGAGGTTGGCGTAATGTTGTTGAAGAATATTATAAGGTAATTATTATATGTTATCGTTTTATTCGTCATTTACATCAATTATTGATTATGTTATTTTATTAGGAAACAACCGAAAATGGGTCGGTAAAAAGTATATCTGACTGGATTCGTATTACGGAAGAACTCGGAATTGTAAAAGAGGAAGATGACGGAGAACTAATAAAACTAAAAAAATATTTGAATCGAGTTATGCTCCCATTGTAAGTGCTTTCTGAGGTTTATCGTTATTAATTGCTCATTGTTCCTAACATCTTGCAGGATCGAATCATTCTCAAAACAAGCTCCAGATATCAGCGCCCCGGACAGTAGTGAGCATCATTATTGGTCAGAATTTGGACACCGTTTTTTCTCAAGGGCATTACAAGAATTCGTAGATCTTGATTGGCGGGTGTAAGCATTAAGTTTAACTATCATAACATTGTTTATATTGTTTTCAAAATTATGTCATGTTGAATTTGCTTTTATTTTAGCATGGAAGTTCCTGTACAGTCCTCGAGGTATAGAAAAAATTATGGATATAATCATATCATTGACACAGTGGTCGATGGAAAATATGCGGACTTGTTGGCGCGAATGCGGAAAACTGGTGAAGAAATTTTTGTCGGGGAACAAGCCGGACCTCCCACTCGATGTGATCTAGCAAAATTAGCAACCGACTCTTTTAAATTATATAGAGAAATGAGAGATTGCTTAAATGTTAGAATTTTACGGGCCATGGGAAAGGGTGATGTAAATTACAATAATCGGTCTGTTTTCGGAATATTGGGTTTTCTTTTCGAAATCAAAATGCTCATAATGTGGAAAGATGGAGTATACGTATATGAAGAATATGGAAGTTTAAACATTGCTTCTAACCCAGGTCAGATTTCAGAGATGAAATTAGGTATATTAAGGCTATTGGAATTTATGGTAAGTTACATTTTATATAATTTTATAAATATCTTTTAATTGAGCTATTCTAAAGTAGTTCCGTTATAGATGATCATTAAAGCCGAAACGAAAAATAACGTGGAAAATGAGTATAATTCTGATTCAATACAGATTTTGAAAAGAAAGTTTGACGAAATTATTCAAACGAAGCCATCGCCTTCAAAAGTTGCGAAGAAATAAATGTTGGTTTTTTCGTATTCTTTAACATAGAAGACGCGTCATAAGTGATGTCATTCACCTTTTAGAAAAAATATTATTGTAAATATTTTATTGTATGAATAAATAAAAAACCAAGCTATACTTAGCGAAAATACATAATTTTATTCCTCACGATCCGCAATGTTTCATTATTTTTGGAACTTTTGACGACGGGCATTAAATAAACCATTGAGTATATATAATCTGTTACTAAAATATGCCATCCCAAATTGATTTGTGACAACGAATTTCTGAGCTTGAAGCTGAAAGGACTGAGTTTGAGGCAAAGAATGCTAAACCGATAAGGTTATGGAAGAGAATGCCAAGCGAGAAGCTGAAAATGCTGAACTCAAAACAAATATGCCAAGTTGGAACAGATCACATAAGAAATTTTGATCTTAAAGATAGAATTACGAAATTGAAACAGAAACAGACCCAGGCTATTATCAACGAACAGGAGGTATCTTTTACAAAAGATATTTTGTCACTTATCAAGAGCCATTCTCATAAGAGAAGTGTTACCCATCCCTTGCATAAATAGAATATACTGTATTTCAATCCAATCTAAATCTTTAATAGAACCTAAAACATTTACAATCTTTTTATTACAAGATATTATTTATAATGATTCAGCTGAGACTCTTGATCTTGTAGAAACAATATATAAAAAAAGAATTGATAGTAAAAAAAAAAAAAAAAAAAAAAATCAATTATTTTATTAAATAATTGAACTAAATTAAAAAATATATAGTATTATTATAGAAGAATTTTAATATTGAATTATTATTAAAACTACAATTATATAAATAATATTATCTTAAATACTATTATTTATCCTTTGAGAAATATTTTATATTAATTCTTTTTTATAAAATTGGAATACATTGTTTTAATTTAATTTCAATCCTCAAATTTTTTTACAATATTCGAGTTCAAAGATTCAGATATTAGCATAATTGATACTTTGATAAAAATTGAGTTATAATATAATTGTTAGTTTTTTTTCTTGGTTTTTTTTTTTTTTTTTTTTTTAACCCGCAATCATGCCACAATGGCATGTCTTTATTGAAAAATTGAAAATGAATTT